AGAAGCCTGCATCAGAGGTGTGGGCCTTTGACTGGAATCAAACCCTCGGCCCTTCAGTCCACAGGATGATGCTCTAACCACAGAGAGAGAAAAAGCAGCCAGGGTAACTTTTATTCTTGCATTCATTTGTTTGTTCTCTGCCAGGCTATGAGTAGAATGGAGAGAAAGACAGACTCGGTTAAGAAATTTAGTGCAGAAGACAGTCTCAGAACTGAAATGTGATCGAAGCTGCGATCCTGAATATTTTTAGACCACAGGAAAGGGGGTTTCTTTGCCTGCCCCTATAAGGCTGCCATCCCGAGGCAGATTACCCTCTCGTGGCTCCTTGTACTCTTAATTTGGGAAGCACGTGTGTCATGCCGGTCTTCCACATCCCACCCTCCTACACAATCATTACTTTTTCTTTTTAAAGCTGTTTAATTTTTCTTAATGTATTTTATTGATTTCAGAAGAGAAGGGAGAGGAGGAGATAGAAACATCAATGATGAGAGAATCATCAGCAACCTGGGCATGTGCCCTGACCAGGAATTGAACTGTGACCTTCTGGTTCATAGGTCAACACGTACCCACTGAGCCACACCAGCTGGGCTGAGCTTATTGTTAACAAAGACAGACAGTACACCACACTACAAAACAAGTCAGTGTCTCTTCCGGTGCCTCCAAATGACTGGGACCCAGAATCCATGTCTTATGGTCTTGAAGCCCTAACATGGGAACCACCACGTTAGAGCTGGAGGAGCCCTTCATTCTTTCATTCATTCACTCTGTAAAGACTTGCGAAGCACTATGAGGTCCAAGCATATGCAAAGTGCTGAGGACATAATAGTGAGCAAGGAAAGTCATGGCATACACTCTTATGATGTTTACGTTCTCATTGGGGAGATGGGAAACAAAGCAAATAAGCAACTTTTAAATATTTATTTATTTTTAATAAGTGGTACATTATATGATTCAAAATACAAAAAGGTGCAGTGAAAAACCTTCCACTCTTACTGCAAGCTACCTAATCCTCTCGTTCCTTCCGCATCCACCAGGAGATAACATATGCATATACAAGCAAATATATCCCCCATTCCCCAATCACACAAATGGCGGTATTCTACACACTTTGAACTGCACCTTGGATATTTTCACTTAATAATATATCTTAATTGTTCTATATCAATACATAGATTTCTATTCTTTTTATAGTTATATGGTATCCTATTGTGTGAGTAGTGCATGATTTAAAAAAATGTTACATTGTGATGTTATGCTGCAAACAGAAATAAGTAGAACACTGAATTTTAAAATAACAAGGGCAAACTGGCTTTAGATAAGGTGGTTTTGGAAAGGAAGTCCATGCTCAGGAAATGTCACTGAGTCCTAAGAAAATAAGAGGGAATGCACTAGAGGAACACAAAGAGAAAGGAAGTTACGTTCAAGCAAAACAAAGGATTGCCAAGGCAGGCATTTGCTTGATATTTGGAGTGGCTGGAAACCACGGTGGCTGGGACCATATGAGGTGTTGGAAGCACAGAGTCAGATGGTGCAGGGCCTTACAAGCGGGTGAGGAGCATAGGAGTGATTCTACTAGTAAGGGCATCAGAAAGCCACCGGAGAATTCAAGAAATGGGCATGCTCTCATTTACAATTAAAGGAAAAAAACTTCACTTAGGAAGCAATGTGGAAGTGGATTAAAGAACCAGAATCTAAGAACAAGAGGAAGAGGATGCAGTAGCCTAGGCAAGAGAGAACAGCAGCGTGGAGAAAGGGTGGTGGTAGACAGCGCTAGGATTTTGGAAGCAGCGATGACAGGATCTCATAGACCAGTGTTTCCCAAACTTTTGACATATATGTACCCCTTCTATAATTTTTGTAACGCTGAGTACCCCTCCTACTCATGAGAACGTAGAATTAGGCGCAGCTAAGCATGGTGCAGTGCATATCCCCACCAAACTCCGGTGCAACGCGTACCCCCACCAACCTCTTCCAGTACCCCTGGGGGTGCGCATACCACACTCTGGGAAACACTGTCATAGACCATTTAGCCCAGTTCCCTCACTTCCCAAACTGAGCAAGCCAGTGGATTGCTTGCCACAGTCAAAGAGCTCCTAATGACAGATGCCGGCCTACACTCCAAGTCAGTGTTCTATCACTCTAGGAAAACGGGAGTTGGAATTTGAGAATAGAAACTGTGTGTTTAAAAATTCTGTTAACCAGTAATGACTGATCTATTCCATTTTTAATTTGTTTGACAACTTTCTGTTTGCTTCTTGACTCCCCACCTCAGAGTAGAGAGAATGGAATCTCAGGTCCAGCACTGCCTACGGGCAGCCTGGAGCAAGGGCAGCAGGCAGTGTGGGACATAGTGAAGGTAAACAGGAGTAGGGGAGACCTTGTGATAAGGGAAAGCCTGAAGGAAGTTAAGGTTTGAATGGGCCTTGCAGATATGGGGGAGGGGATTGCAGGTGGAAGACACTTCTAAGTAAAGACCCTCTGACAGGAACCTGGCAGGTTTGAAGGGCTCCTTGGATGCCAAGGTGAGTGGAATAAGAACAGTGGAAACATGAGCAGAGAACAGTAAGATGAAAGTGGGGATGGGGAGGGTCAAATGGCATAAGGCTTTATGAGCAGAAGCCGTTGGCCTTTACTGAGATGGGAGCCACGAGTGGTGTGAGCTGAGGTGACAGGATCTGTGCATTTTCACAGGATCCCTCTGCTATTGCGTGGAGAACAGACTGTAGGAAGCAAAGTGGAAGTAGAGACCAGCTAAGAGAATGTTGCAGTCAACTAGGTGACAAGGATGATGACTTGGCCCATACATATGGCAAAAAGTGGTCAACCAATAAGATTTTCTGACAAATATACAAGAAAGGGAGTCAAGCATTACGCTCCAGGATTTGGCCTGAGAAATGGGAAAGATGAATTTATTAAATGAGATGGAGACAATGGTGAAGGAAGCTGTTTGAGTTTGATAGTGTCGGGTTCGAGATGTTGGTGAGACATCCATTGGAGAGGCTGGGCAAGCTGTCAAATATACCAGAGTTAAAGACAGACCTGGACTGGGTCTACACTTGGGAACTGTTGGCACACGGATGGTGTTTAAAGCCACCAGACTGGATGAAACCTAGTGTACATGCTGGCTCACTTTGGCATCAAAAAGACAAAAAGAGGAACCAGCCAAGGAGACTAAAAAGGAAGTACCAGTGAAATAAGAGAACAATCAATAAACATGCTAGAATCCAAGTGGGGGGGGGGGAGGGTAAAAGAAGGAAGAAACAGCAATAATGCCACATGCTGTTTTTAGGTCAAATAAGATGAGAACTGAAAATTAAAACTGTGACATGACTAGACCTTGACAAAACCAGTTCCCTGGAATTGAGAGGATGGAAGCCTGATTGGAGTGGGTTAGAGAATGAAAGGAGAAATGGGGCCAGTAACAGCTTCTTCTTTGGGGGTTCATGGCATACTTGTATACTGATGGGAATGATCCAAGAGAAGTAAAACTGGGGTGAGGAAGGAAGATTTGATGGGGCCATGTTCTTGAGTTGGTGATAGACTGAGGTCTCAGGAGTGGAGGGATTTTTTCTAGACATAAAAAGCATAGTCAAAGGACACCATTTCTCAAGCTCTAGGGTTCATAGAATCACCCTGAGTACTTACTAAAACATATTGCTGCGCCTCTTTCCACCTTGCCTCCATTTGTGATTCAGTGTCTGAAGTGGGGCCCCATCATTTCCTTATGACATGTTCCCTAGTGGTGCTGCCGACACTGGCCAGGAAAGCAGCCTTTCCACACTGATCTGCAATTATGTGGAGATGTGGTGGAGGGAGTCCATGATGCTTCATTCCACAGTCGAGTAGGAAGTCATTAACCAAGAGTAAATATGAGGGGTGAGATGTTGGAATTTTGGGGAAAGGGGAGGCTATGAAATGGTTCTCAACAGTGAAAAGATAGGGAAAATGTTGATTTCCTTCTCGAGGTTAATAACCATGAATTAAAAATGAGACACTGGTTGAATGTTTTTCTCCAACCACCCTAAACAGCCTGGGTGCAGGTACGTGGGGATTTGATAATCACCAGGACTGTGGTTTGTCAAACTAAATGAAGTAAGAGAAGAGGGAAGGAAGATGATGGAGAATACAAGATGGGGAGGGAGATTATGGTGGGGCACAAAATTTAAGTTGAAAAAGACATGAGGGATGGTGGAAAAAATAAAAAGGAGATATACTTTTTTCAAAAGTGGGTGTTTTCTTCCCTTTGTCTTCATTTTACCTCTCTGGGCCTCTGTAGAAAGACTCTTGCAGCCTCAAATTCTTGTTACTTTCCTCTATAGCACTCATCACTACCTGACAACTTTGTTCCTCTCTCCACCACCATTACTGTCCCATTGAAGGAAAGGCCTTTCAGCTTTCTGCTGTTGCGGGCCTGTAACTCTGCCAGGCTTGTAGTAACCGCCCCCCGACCCCCCCCCCCCCCTCGCCAAGTACCCTCCCTATGCAATCTGGCAGGCTTGCTCTTCACAGGCCCAGGACATGTCCTTATACACCTGCATCAAGATGCCTTGACTTTGAATGGCATGCTCTAAAAACCTGAATGCCTAATTTAAGTTGATAAGCTTTGGGGAAGCAGAAATCTGGAGGAGTTTGGGTTTCAATGCTTGAGAGGACAAGATTTAGAGAGCAGGCTTCTGCCAAACTGCTTTGGTGACAGAGACCCAGGCCCTTGGGGCACTCACTACTCATGCCAAAATCCTATAAAGCCACCCATATAAGACTGTCATAGAAGACCTCAGTCCTTCTTTAGCAGACCAAGATTAGAACTTCATGGAACCACAAAGGGGTTAAGTGACATTCAGCAGGTGATTTGGTATTATTCTAATTTTGTAAAGTAACTTTAATTTTTTTTGAGCATATGAGTAGCACACAGAGCTAGCAGGTGGGGCCAGAATAATTTTCCAATTCTTAGACAGTGACATTTGAGCACTAAATAGCTGAAAACAATAAACCATACATGGCACAAGTGACATTTTTGCCACTCATTAATTTTGTTGGGAAAAATCCATTTCCATCTAGCTCATCGATGACAGTAAGAGATTTGACACAGCCCAGGTTTTGTGCAGGTGCTTGATAAGGGCTAGACCAGGCGTCTTCAAACTGCGGCCCGCAGAGGAGTCTGATCCGACCCGCCAGGTTTTTTGGGCAGTGAGCGCAGCCGAGGTGTTACAGTAGGAATTAGTAGTTCATATAGTCCGGCCCTCCAGCTCTCTGAGGGACCGTGATCTGGCCCCCACTTTAAAAAGTTTGAGGACGCCTGGGCTAGACCAAAAACACCGAGAGAGAATGCTGAACAGCCCCAGCCTGAGTTGGCGGGGTTGCAGGAGAATGGAGAGAATCAGGTTAGCTGATTTGACCTCCAGCAACTCGCAAGTGCTGTCCAGTGGCCCAGCCCAGTAGTCAGGCCGGAACCTCATGGTGCCATCGTTTCACAACCTCCCACCCCAACCCCTCTGCTGGGGCTACAGAACCAGTCCTGGAAACCTGAGGTCTGTGTACCTCCAATCCACGTATCCTGGCTGTGGATGGCTTATCCCCCAGCCACTCAGCTTTCAACCTGTAAGCCCAGCAGCTGTAGTTAAGTATTATCGTTCCTAAGAAAGGCTTCTCAGGATTAAGAAGTTTCACCAGCTGCCCAGAAACCACTAGTGATGAACGATAGTTATAATTGGGCACTTCCCCAAAGCAAAAAATAAACATTGTGAACTACCTTTATCAGATCTGAATCCTAGGGACACTCATTTTCAGAAAGAAAGTCCTACATGACAGACACAGAGCACATTTCAAATAAACCATTTTTCAAATAAAGATCAAAATAAGAGGCAATATTCAAGTGCTATAATGAACAACAAAATTTTTAGTATATGACTATGTATTTTCTCACAAATAGAAAAAGGCCTGAACCCATAAAATAGTTTAGATGGGGTAAAACCAGGGCTTCCAACATTTCTCTCTCTGTTAACTGAACTGCAGGTGGAATTATGAAAGGGTGCAAGCCAATGTGCATTCAGTGGGTCTCACGATAGGTGAAGCATTATGCTAAGTGAAAGCCCTCTCCATAACTCCACAAGGTTCATAGACAGTGCTGTAAAAAATAAAGTGGTTAGGTTGTTGGAATAGGCTAAATAATCCTCCATCTATCAGTAATAAAAACCTATTTTCTAATCTTGCAATTTAAAAAATTGCTTTAAAAAAAAAAATCAAGCCCTGGCCTGTATTTCTCAGTGGTTAGAGCACAGGCCTGAGGACCCAAGTGTCTCAGCTTTCATCCCAGTCAAGGGCACGTACCGCAGTTCCCGGTTTGCTCCCCACCCCAGGTCAGGGCACGTGGGCATATGCGGGAGGCAACCAGTGGATGTCTCTCTCACATCCATGTTTCTTTCTTCCTCTCTCTTTTCTCCCTTCTACTCTCTCTGAAAAGCAATGGAAAAAAATATCTTTGGGTGAGGATTAAAAATTTTAAATCAAGGGATGGTTTCTAAATATTTTCCAATAAAAAAGAACCTTTGTTCCTTGGAGAAATGGGGCCATGGCAAGGAAAATACCGACTTATCCAGGAACATCTTGTAGTACCAGAAAGAAAGGGCTCCTAAAAACATAGGGGCAGTCAAAAAGACAAGAGCCAACTTGGAGCTCCCAAGCCCGGATAGTTTGAGCAACTAAATAAATAATAGCACTGACTGTAGAATAAAATATCCCTGAGTCCATGCTGATATATCTGAATAAACAAAAAGGGGAAAGAGGAGAGATTCTCCTTACAAAATTCTAAGTAGGCTTTGGCCAGTGTTGCTCAATGGTTAAGAGTACCTGCCTGGGACTGGAGGGTTGTGGGTTCGATTCTAATGAAGGGCATGAACCTAGGTTGTAGGTTTGATACCCACATGCCCCAGGTCAGGATAAAAAATAAAAATAAAAAAACATTCTAATTAGTATAAATGTAGAAGAAATAATAAACATTTGGCAAAAATGCTACTTTTTGGAGACAATAACAATTCAAAGGTCTCAAAATTAGTGAACCAAAGATTGATAATCTTAAAGTATACCCCTCCAAGAGTTACTTATTAATTACAAAGGAAAAATCAATAACTTTATAGCGGAGAAATCCAGCAGACACTACCTTAACCAAAGGTCAAAGTTAACATGACCAGTAATTGTATCCTGATAAAATGCATTAAGAGGATACATGACTTTTTACATTCTTGCCAAAAAAAAAAGTAATGAGAAAATCAGACAAATCCCAGGAGCAGTCCATAAAATAACTCTCCACAAAAGTCAAAATCATAAAAGGGAAAAATAAAAAACTCACAGGCTAGAGACAACTAAATGCATGTGGGATCCTGGATTGAATGCTGAGCCAGAAAAAATAAAGACATTTCTTGGACAATTAGCACAATCCAAATAATATCTGTAGATTAGTTAATAGTACTTATATCAATATTTATTAGTTATGTAAAATGTTAACATTTAGAGGAAGCTGAGTTAAGGTTATATGAGAACTCTCCATATTCTTTTTGCAAAAGACTAAAATTATCTATAATAAAAGTGTAATATGCTAATTAGACCAGATAACCTTCTAGATGAAGCCAGGGCTGCAAGGGAAGCCCGGGTCCCAGGAGCCAGAGGAAAGCTGGTGCTGGCAGCCGGCGGAAGGCCTGCTCTTGCATGAATTTCGTGCATCAGGCCTCTAGTCTGTATTATAAAAGGACTGTGGCCCTAACACCATAACCACCAAAGACAGGAGAGGGTGGGCGGAGCCATGCAATTTCGAGCTGGGCTTCTAGTTCCAAAATAAGATTTTAAAAATGGAACATGCTCGGGGACAATAGCCAATCAAATGTAACTAAGATTAAATTGAGTGAATGTGACACATTGTTAATATTAAAGGTTAAAATGTTTTGAATTGCCTTAGCTGGTTTTCTCAGTGGTTAGAGCTTTAACCAGTGGACTGAAAGGTACCTGGTTTGACTCCAGTCAAGTTGCAGACCTGATCCCCAACCCTAGCGCCAGAGGCAACCAATCAATCTGTCTCTCATATCGATATTTTTCTCTCTCCCCCTCCTTCCCCAACCCTTCCACTCTTTCTAAAAATCAATGGAAAAACATCCTCCGGTGAGGATTAACAACAACAAAAAAGCTTTGAACTGACATGGATCATACATGGTGAGACTGTTTTCCCTTGTCTTCAATAAAAAAGTAAACAGCTATTCAAAGTCACAAATGCCAACAGAGGAAAGCATTGAGAACAAAGAGTCAAAAGTCAACAATTTCACTGGCAAAACTCATTAGCGAATAGCAGAACTAGTTTAGCTGCATTTTGGGGTCTTCACCAAACCAATTTTGGCCAAACTCTTGGAGTAAACACAGTCTAATTTTTATACTACAGAAAATGCCAATATGGTTTTGGGGTTTTCCAATACACAAATCCAACCTCCTGACAGCCTCCCCTCCCTACACTCTCAGGGAGAGCTAGGGGCTCCAAATCCAAATCCCTTTCAGTTTGCACCCAAAACCATACCAGTATTTTCTATGTGACATGAAAAAATTGGGAAGCACCGGCTTAAACTAAACATTTCAAATTGCAAAAAAAAAAAAAAAAAAAGTATCTTGAATGAATGATCGGACATCCAACCTGAATAGAAGGTAGGAAAATCTAGGTAAAATTCCTTTTGAATTTGTTTTTCTTAGGATATTTTTGCTTTTCGAAAGTGAAATACTAAACAATTAAGTCCATGGGAGTCCTCTGAAAGTCACAGAAAGTTGAGCTAAAATTGAACACACATTTCTAATTTGGAAAGTGGGCATCTTCAAAGGGATGAAAGCACAAAGGACTTCACAATATTAAGGAAACTATTTCAAAAAGCTTGAAAAATTAGAATTATCCAAGTATATTGTACTGTGCCTCAGATAAGCAGAGAAAAGCTCTCAATCTCAAGTGCCAACTATAATGCTCATTACAAATCAACAGTTATTAATTTTATCATACCCTTGATTTAGTAGCCTGGACTGTGTAGACTAGGATGAATAAGTCATTTAAAGGCAAAACACTATCCAACAGTATTAAAACCCATTTTCCGAACCCTTTCTTATTACAGAAGCTTTACACATTTAACTCCCAACACTGGGACATATGTGCTAAAAATCTTTAAGGCAGAGAAGCCCAAAACCTTTGAAAATAAATAAGATTAATCAATTACCATTACAACTATATTATTCACAAAGACCCAAACCCACTGCAATTTCTTATTCTTGGACCTGCATCCATGTGGATGGAATCCTGTCTAAGTAAGCTGTATTTCAGATTAAACCTTTACATCCTTGATATGGGCTCTTCCAGGTTTCTACAGGTAAAGCACAGTGACTGGCATTTAAGAAGCACTCACAATCAAATATTTGTTGAATGACTTAGCAGTGGCTCTGCCTTCTCTGGGAAGTGTCCAGAAATAACTCATTATAAATTCTGGCCCACCTTGCTCTGCAGAGGTCATTATTATCTAGCTCTGGGTACAAAAGCAAACCTGAATTATTTCACCTCAACAAATTTTCTTAGAATAGTTGATGTCTCATTTCTTCAAACTCCTTACACTCCAAATCTTGCATAAAATATACCAGACTCAAATAATACTAATAAATGGTACTAAGAGTGATGCTCAACAGGATCTCACGTTTATTGAGAAGTGATTAATGGTAAAAAGAAAGGCAATGCCCTTTCCTCATTGGATGAACAAGAAACTGAAGAAACATTCACTACACATTTTACAATATTTTTCTCTTCCAAAATGCATTTCTGTAAACAAGTTTTTACCACTGTTCTTAGCTGTGAAATAAAATTAATCCTGACTCAATCAGTATAATGTACAAGAACAGAACATTTCTTAGGAATCCTAGTACTTTACTTTGAGTAACAAAGGGTCAGAGAAAATGAACCACCCTTAGACACAACCTTGGGTAACACTGTTAAATTCTCCAACACAAAAATTCTTCATAAAAATGTTCTTCCAGTTCGGAAGGGAAAAACCAAATTCCCCCTTTCTGGGGTGGAGGCAGGCCCATACCTTCAAAACTCAGGTGTTCTCCAAGTGCAAATGTCAAAATGGGGGGAGGAAAGGGTTTAAAAATTAGAGAAAACTGTATGCACTTACGGACTTTAAAATCCGAAAACATAATAAAAAGACAAAGAAAAAAAAGCAGAATGCTCTGAAATCACAACCAAAACCAAAATAAAAGGGACATTTTTCACCTAAGCTACCTAGAGGGATTTTTTTAGTTTTTTTCTTTTTCTTTTTTTTTCCACTTTCCAGTTAAGTCCTATGTCTTTTGTGAAATTCCAATACTTAAACTGCAATTCTGCAATCGTCTCTGAAGTCAATGAAATTAAGAAAAAAAGTCCTAATTTTCTCCAAGGTCATTTTTTTTCCTCTTTAGGGATATGCAGATGAAACCGTTGCTGTGGTCTGTGCAGAACTGCCTTATTTCCCACGGCCTTGACGTTCCTAGAGGTTAAAAAAAATTGAAATGGTTAGTTAAAACTTATTTGATATGCTTAAGAATTAACTTTCACAGAATAACTCAAAAGAGATTTAGTTATTTGTGTTAGGTTGAATATATCCCCACCAATAAAAGCAGACATTTGTTAATTCTGACCCAAGAATATTTTTTCCCATTGATTTAGAGTGGAAGGGAGAGAGAGAGGGATGGAAAGAGAGAGACACATTGATTGGTTGCCTCCTGCAACCCAGGTACACGACAGGCAATCGATATGCTGGATCACTGAACCACACCAGCCAGAGCAAGGAAAACCAACTTCTACTTCTTATTTTTTAAACCAAAGTAGTAACATTCAAGCATTCCAATTAATACAAACTTTTATTTCACTATAAAATTTCTTACATGATGCCCCAGCCAGTTTGGCTTAGTGAATACAGCATCGGCATCCAAACTGAAGGGTCCTGGGTTCAATTCCTTGACCTCAGTTGCAAGCTTGATCCCTGACCCACTCTCAGTGCATGCATGAGGCGGCCAATCAATCCCACCCCCCCACCCCCCCACCCCCCTCCCACCCGCCGCCTTCCACTCTCTCTAAAAAAAAAAAAAAAATCAATGAACAAAATACCCTCAGGTAAGGATTAAGAAAGACAACAACATGCCGGGACTGGTTTGGCTCAGTGGATAGGCCTGCGGACTGAAAGGTCCCGGGCTCGATTCCGGGCAAGGGCATGTACCTTGGTTGCGGGCACATCCCCAGTGGGGGGTGTGCAAGAGGCAACTGATCGATGATTCTCTCTCATCAATGTTTCTAACTTTCTATCCCTCTCTCTTCCTCTCTGTGAAAAATCAATAAAAAATATTAAAAAAAAAAAAAAAAAAAGAATGACAACAACAAAGGTTAAAAATAAATAACATTTCTGATATGATTAAAATATAGTATTCTGGCCAACGTGTCTCAGTGATTGATCATGGATCTATGAACCAGCAGGTTAAAGTTCAATTCCCAGTCAGGGCACTTGCCCAGGTTGTGGCTTGATCCCCAGTGTGGGCTGTGCAGGAGGGAACTAATCAGTGATTCTCATCATTGAGGTTTCTCTCTCTCTCGCTTTCCCTTTTTCTCTCAAATCAATAAAAATATATCCTAAAAATTATTTTTTTAAAAAGCAAAAAACCTAGCCATATTAGACATCCCATTTTAGTTCTAGAGTTTTAGACATAAAAAAAAAGCTTCAATTTTCATAAAAATGTGGGTTTATCTTGATAGAGACACGCTGAACACAAAGGGCTGAAAGAAAGGATTAATCGTTAATATAAAATAATAGAACATTTTAATAAAAATTAATAATTTTTCTTGAACATTGACTTATCAGACACTGAATAACTGCACAAATTAATAAGCATAATGCAAATAAACCTATTTTTCTTCTCTGAAATAAAAATATTTCCTGTTGGCGCACACCAAACAAGTCAGTACAAGACTAACTAGCCGATGATGTGGAAATCGGCTGCCAAAATATTCACTGCTAGTATTAGTGGAGAGAAATGGTGCACTTAGAGTATTAAGAGAAATTAATGCAACATGATTACAGTAATCAGTCATTAGCGAACATTGCAACTTGTTATTAATAATTATGTATAACAGAATATTATAAAAATTAAGTCATAAAATTATTAAAACATTTCTTACATAGTTATATTGGCTGGGCTGCCAAAATATTCATTGTGGGCTGCATGCGGCCTATAGGTCTTGAGTTTGACATGCTTGCCCTAGAGTTTAAAATCCACTTAGAGATGGGTTCTGACAACTGACTGCAATATCAAAAGTTTTTCCTGAAATAAATCTAAATGCTTATTTCTTTTTTGAAAATATATATTTTATTGATTTTTTTACAGAGAGGAAAGGAGAGGGATAGTTAGAAACATCTATCAGCTGCCTCCTGCACACCCCCCTACAGAGGATGTGCCCGCAACCAAGGTACATGCCCTTGACTGGAATCGCACCTAGGACCTTTCAGTCTGCAGGCCAATGCTCTATCCATTGAGCCAAACCGGTTTGGCTCAGTGGATAGAGCATCGGCCTGCAGACTGAAAGGTCCCGGGTTCAATTCCGGTCAATGGCATGTACATTGATTGCGTGCACATCCCCAGTGGGGGCTGTCCAAGAGGCAGCTGATTGATGCTTCTCTCTCATTGATGTTTGTAGCTCTCTTTCCCTCTCCCCTCTTCTCTGTAAAATATCAATAAAATACATTTTTTTAAAAAGAATAATTCTTTATAAGCCTCTCATAAACCTATTCTAAACAGTTTTCCATGTCACACACTACTCATTTACTGAAAAATTTTTAAATATGACTCAATCCACGAGTCTTTTAAAAGCAAAAGCCTTAACTGGTTAGGAGTACAGGCTCAAACTTACACTTTATCATCAATCTAACTTGAGTAGAGTCACTTGCTCCCATTTACACTATGGTAACTACAGTACTTAAGTTAAATATGATCCCTACTAAAAAGAATAGCAACTAGTATTTATGAGCTTCCATGTTCTAGGAACTGTACATAATAATGATCTTCATAACCACCCCACAAAGACTGTATTATTCCTACTTTAGATATACTAAAAGGAAAAGGAAAGCTTAAATAAGATATTAACCGAAGTTACCTAAGAACCAAGATTCAAATCTAGGACTATATGGCTCTTTCTCTACACCATGTTGTTACAAATATTTGTTAAAGTCAACAAAATTAACTGAGGCTTTGTGATGAATTGACTACCCTAAAACTAAACAGCTCCACAAATACGGTAATATTTATTCATAAAGAGCTGTTATCTTTCTGTGACGTCCCACTTCACATCTCTGGATTTCAGGGATAAACTAACTCACCAACATACCAAGATCTGGGATATTGTTTTTTAAATACGTCATTTTGGATGGACACCATTTATCTAACTTCTATTAATGATCAAGATCTACCTCTGACTTTAGGAAATCTGGACTCTTCTTGATTAAATCTCATTCCTATGCTTTTATTACTCTTCAAGACAAGAATGTCTAGCCTTCTGTCCTTCAAGATACAGTTCAAAATCTCTTCCCTTCTTTGAGACTTCCTTAGCCCCTGCAGCTTTTAATGTCCTTCCAAATCTGTATCCACAATTGAAAATTAAACGTAAAAATTAGTCCCAACTCAATCAAAAACTTCCAGAAAGCAAAGAACAGGTCTTCAATTAACGTCACTCACAAACTACTTATGAGTTTAGCAATTGATGTTACAATCAACTTCTAAGTAAAATTCTAGTTCTCATCACATACACAAAAATTCTAACTGTATTAAGTGATGGACATTAACTAAACATTATGGCAATCATTTCTTTCTGCGTATATAAATATATCAAATCATTGTGTTATATACCTTAAACTAATACAATGTTATTATGTATGTCAACTGTATCTCAATAAAACTGGAAAAACATTTTTTTTAATATATTTTTATTGATTTTTTACAGAGAGGGATAGAGTTAGAAACATCGATGAGAGAGAATCATCGACCAGCTGCCTCTTGCACATCCCATACTGGGGATATGTTTGCAACCAAGGTACATGCCCTTGACCAGAATTGAACCCGGGACCTTTCAGTCTGCAGGCCAACGCTCTATCCACTAAACCAAACCGGTTTCTGCTGGAAAACTATTCTGCATATTACTTCTTATTTCAATGTAATATAACCCCAGGAATACAAATAAACTTATATGCGCCAAATTATACTGATAAAAAAAGAAAACCTGGACTTTGCCAAATCCATAAAGAAACATGTTTCTATATAAATTCACCAGCCATGCTTAATTATTAACAGTCATTTAGAATATAGTCAGAAGAAATTCAAAATAGTATTCTGTAATTGCACATACTATGTCAACTCTTTTTTTTTAAATATATTTTATTGCCGAAACCGATTTGGCTCGGTGGATGGAGCGTCGACTGCAGACTGAAAGGTCCAGGGTTCGATTCCGGTCAAGGGCATGTGCCGGCAGGGGTGTGCAGGAGGCAGCTGATTGATGTGTCTCTCTCGGCGATGTTTCTGACTATCTCTCTCCCTCTCTGTAAAAATCAATAAAATAAAATAAAAATAAAATTAAAAATTAAAAATAAAAAAATATATATATATATATATATATATATATATATAGCCACAACCGGTTTGGCTCAGTGGATAGAGCGTCGGCCTGCGGACTGAAAGGTCCCGGGTTCGATTCCGGGCAAGGGCATGTGCCTGGTTGCGGGCGCATCCCCAGTGGGGGGTGTGCAAGAGGCAGCTGATCGATGATTCTCTCTCATCGATGTTTCTGACTCTCTATCCCCCTCTCTTCCTCTCTGTGAATAAATCAATAAAATATATTTTAAAAAAAAATATATATATATATATATATATATATATATATATATTATTGATTTTTACAGAAAAGAGAGAGGGATAGAGAGTTAGAGACATCAACGAGAGAGAATCATCGATCAGCTGCGTCCTGCACACCCCCTCACCGGGGATGCGCCCGCAACCAAGGTACATGCCCTTGACCGGAATCGAACCCGGGACCTTTCAGTCCGCAGGCCGACGCTCTATCCACTGAGCCAAACCAGTTTCAGCTGTCAACTCATTTTTTTAAAAATCTGCTCCTTGCCGAAACCGATTTGGCTCAGTGGATAGAGCGTCGGCCTGCGAACTGAAAAGTCCCGGGTTCAATTCCGGTCAGGGGCATGTACCTTGGTTGCGGGCACATCCCCAGTAAGGGGTGTGCAAGAGGCAGCTGATTGATGATTCTCATCGATGTTTCTAACTCTCTATCCCTCTCTCTTCATCTCTGTAAAAAATCAATAAAATATTTATTTTTTTAAAAGTGTCCCTTTTGCCGAAACCGGTTTAGCTCAGTGGATAGAGCATCCGTCTGCGGACTGAGAGGTCCCAGGTTCAATTCCGATCAAGGGCATGTACCCTGCTTGTGGGCACATCCCCAGTAGGAGGTGTGCAGGAGGCAGCTGGTCGATGATTCTCTCTCATCGACATTTCTAGCTCTCTATCCCTCTTCCTTCCTCTCTGTGAAAAATCAATAAAAAAAATTTTTAATTAAATTTTTAAAAAGTGTCCCTTTTCATGTGCTACCAAATCCACAACTACCGGTGCTCAATTTTGCCTCAAACGTAATATAAATTTCTCCCGAATCTTGACACTATGATACCAAGGCAACTGTAACCTGTGCCCTAATGTAAACCTGTATATTGTTTAAATTATGCAAATTACATACAAATGTATTAGCTGCATTAATCTCCTGCCCAAATACCAAGTAAGCATCACATTGGTACAAGTAAGCAGGCTGACTAAATTGCTCTTCAAACCCTATATATACTATGTACTTTCCTATACATAGGTACCTTTCACTCAAAGGAAGCACTTTAACACTTATCTTTGACATATCCAAATTGCCACCATCACTGTTCTTGTACTTTTGGCCACTATTTTTTTTTAAATATACTTTTATTGATTTCAAAGGGGAAGGATGAGAGAGAGAGAAACCAACATCAAGGATGAGAGAATTACTGATGGTCTGCCTCCAGCAGGCTCCACACAGGATTGAGCACGCAACCTGAGCATGTGCGCCCTGACAGGGAATTAAAACTATGACCTACTGGTTCCTAGGTCAATGCTCAACCACCGAGACACGCCCCGAGCTTGGCCCACCATTAAGTAAGGGTGACTTGAACTCAGGTGCTGTGATACCACAACAGCTGATCTTTTTTTTAACTTTTAAATTAACTTTCAATATTATTTTATACTAGAGGCCCAGTGAACAAGGGGGGTAGGGGGTGTCCCTCAGCCCAGCCTGTGCACTCTTGCAATCCAGGACCCCTTGGGGGATGTTAGGCCCGGTCCCAGCCTGGCCTGTGGGGATTGGGCCCAAACCAGCAATCGGACATCACCTGAGGTATGTAGCAGCATACCAAGGGGCAAGTGGCCTGGGAGGAGCCAGAACTGGGGCTGGGCACCATGCTGCTCACACCCAGCCCACTGCACCTGCTGCCGCCATTAGGTAGTGCTGCCACGGAGTCAGAAGAGGCTCCCGCCAATGCAGACGCATTCAGCATGAGCCCGGCTTCTGGCTGAGCAGTGCTCCTGCTGCGGGAGTGCACTGACCACCAGTGCCTTGAGCGTCTGCCCCCTGTCACCATAGCGACTGATCAACCAGTTGTTCTAGTCATCTGGTCGTTCTGTTGTAATAGTCACTAAGGCTTTTATATAGAGAGATTAGTTTCGTATGTACAACATATTGGTTACATAATTATATACTTTGTTCCCCCGATATTTCCAGTACCCATTTGGCTCCATATATAATTATACACTGTATTTTATATCCCCTGTGGCTATTCTGTAACTACCAATTTGTACTTAACCCCTTTATGTTTTACACCCAGTCCCCCAACACCCCACCCCTCTCACAATCATCAGTCTGTTCTCTGTGTCTGATTGTTTCAATTTTGTTTTTTTTATTTTTAGAACCCACATATAAGGAAAATCATATGGTATTTGCCTTTCTCTGACTTATTTCACTTAGCATAATAACCTCTTAAGTGGCTAACACGTGTGTATTGGGATATTAGCATACAAGCATGGATAGGCTGGACAAAGGGATGATTCATATGTCTTCCAGGATGGAGTGGGGCAGCATGAGATTTCATCACACCACTCAGAACAGTGGCATGCAATTTGAAACTTATGAATTTTTATTTCTGGAATTTTCCATTTGACATTTTTGGACTGTAGCTAACTGCAGCTAACTGAAACTGAGGAAAGTAAAATCACAGACAAGTGGGGACTACTATACAGTTTTGATGTATGCCCACACAAAAATAAGCTTATCTATTTAGAGATAATAAAATCCATCTTCTCAAAAATTATAAAAGATACTTAAGCATTTATACCATACTACCTTGAAAAGTAAACTTTAGCACCAATTAAAACACTATAGCGTAGAGGGTGCACACAGGAAGCAGCCAATTGGTGGCCCTCTGTCATCACTGGTGTTCCATCTCTCTCTCCCTCTAAAATCAATAAAAATATTTTTTTTAATTTTAAATAAAAAAATACTAAGCCGAAACCGGTTAGGCTCAGTGGTAGAGCGTCGGTCTGTGGACTGAAAGGTCCCAGGTTCGATTCCGGTCAAGGGCATGTTGGTTGTGGGCACATCCCCGGTAAGGGGTGTGCAGTAGGCGGCTGGTTGATGTCTCTCTCTCATCGACATTCCTGGCTCTCTTTCTCCCTTCCTCTCTGTAAAAAATCAATAAAATATTTTTTTATTTTTTTTAAATACTAAGGCTGAGAAGTTTACTTGCTCAGATCAGTGACAGTGGCAGATATGGTCTTCTTCTAGAGCCACTACTATACATATGATAGGTGTGGTACTTAAACATTTTTTTTTCTAAAAATTTGATTTAGAGAAGGGGGAGACGTTCATCTGCTGTTCCATGCATTCATTGGTTGCTTCTTGTATGTGCCCAGACCAAGAATCAAATCCACAGCCTTGTCACATCCAGATGACACTCTAACCAACTGAGGTACTGAGTCAGGGCCTACCTAAACCTTTTTTAAAGGCCCATCAATGTAATATACTTAATAGAATCCATTGCCACACCTAAAAAAAAACTGGCTACTTTTAAAAATCTTAGCCAGTTTGGCTCAGTGGAAGAATGTCGTTGCCTGAGGACTGGAGGGTCTTGGGTTCAATTCTGGTCAAGGGCACGTGCCTGGGTTGAGGCTTGATCCCTAGTGGGGGGGGCATGCAGGAGGCAGTCAATGGATGATTCTCTCTCATCATTGATGTTTCTCTCTCCCCCTCTTCCTTCCTCTATGAAATCCATAAACACATTATATATTTTAAAATCTTAGTTTGGACAACTTTAGTTGTCCCCTAAACCCTAACCTGCTGCTAGTGGGCCCTAACCACTAACCTGCTGCTCATCCCATATTCCTTATTCCTCAATTCCTTATCTGTAAAATGAAACTTAAAATTATCTAACTCTAAAAAATTAATGTTCCCACAAAAAGGAAGACACAATAAAAGGAAAACTAAATGTAAAACTTAAAACATTAAACCCTT